TGCAGGTGTGAGGCATGGGAAAAATGAAGGAATTTTGATTGGGCAAAGGGGAGGGAGGGGAAGGGATGGAGTATGGGAACAGGAAAGATGGTGGAATGCAATGGACATTATTACTTTAGGAATGTATATGACTGCACATATAGTGTGACACTACATTGTGTATAATCCGAGAAATGAAAAGTCATGCTGCAATTGTGTACAATGAATCAAAATGCATTCTGCTGTCATATATACCTAATTAAAATTAATAAACAAATTTATCTGTAAAAACAACTAAATACATAAACTGCTATACAACAAGCCTTAGGAATCCAACCCAGGCCCTTTGTGCATGCTAGGCAAGCATTTTACTGATCTATACTCCCAGTCCCTATATTATTTCTATTAAGAAAAAAAAAGTGGGAGAAAAACCAAATATACAAAATAAGAAATAGGAGGGCTGGGGCTGTAGCTCAGTGGTGAAGCACTTGCCTCACATGTGTGAGGCACTGGGTTTGATCTTCAGCACTACATGAAAATAAAGATACTGTGTGTTCATCTACAACTAAATAAATAATTTTTTTTAAAAATAAGAAATAGTATGGAGGCAATAGCCATTGAAATAGAAGAGAAATTGAATCATCAGATTAGTTAGTAGGTACCTGCCAAATGATTTGAAAATCCAGATAAAAATTATATTTTACTATAAATACAGATCTCTAAACCTTAATGTATTGGAATTAGAAAGCTTAAAAAGACCAATTTTCATAGAAGAAATAGAAAAAGTTATTAAGGAAATATCCTATGAAAAGTACCAAGCCCAGATGGTTTCACATGGAACTCTATCAAGCCTCTAAACACCAGATAGCCTCAATGCTCTATAAATTATTCCAGAGACGGATCAAGCCCTATAGGAATATCAACCTGTGGAAGAAGATGAACTAGCAAAAGAGAATGAGAAAGAACTTTGTGAGGAAGGAAACCCTGGGTCGCAAAATCTCAGAATGAAAGGATGTTCTAAAAAGGGAGACTTTCATGGAAAAAGATACACAGAGATATCATGCACTTTGCCTGAGTAATAAGTGGAAGTTCAGGAGACTGAGAAAGCCAATTATTAACTCCTTCAGATAGTTGTCTGGGAAGGTGAGGAGAGAAGCCTGGTGGGGGCCCAGTGATGAGAGGTCTAGGGAAGAGGTTTTGAAATGGAACAACTTGAGTAGGTTTATTCTTGACAAGGAGGGGACTATATGGTATTAGGGATCTAAAAGAGAATGACAGGCATAGTATAGATGAGTCTAGGTCCAATTAGTGCAGTGTTTCCTTTGATTCCTTACTATTAACTCTAAATGATATAGTCAATTTTTCCCAATATTCCATATTTACTTATCTTCTTCATTGATACAAAGTACATTTATATCAGTGTCAAATTCTATGTTAATTTAGCAAACTTTACTAGGTGACAGTGACTGCTAGTGACTATGAACACACAGTTGGAAGAAACCTAATTTCTTTTCCTGAGAAGCTAATAAGTCTAGTGGATAAGAAAAATCACAAGAGTGCTAGCACTTTCTGGTTTATAAAGCACTGGACAAATACTATCTCATTCAATCCTCACAACAAGCACTTGAAGAAATTAGAATTACCCCTATTTCATTAGTGAAAAAAACAAGCCTGAGAAAGGTTAACTGTCCCAGATAGAGGACCTTAAACTAGAATCCAGGTTCTTGTACTCTGTTCCCCAGTATGCAACACCTACTTTCAGAAAAAAGATCCTGTAGGGGCTAGGGTTGTGGCTCAGCGGTAGAACGCTTGCCTTGCACATACGAGACCCTGAGTTCCATCCTCAGCACCACATAAAAATAAATAAGTGAAATAAAGGTATTGTGTCCAACTACAACTAAAAAAATAAATATTAAAAAAGACCCTATAGAGATTGCCTAGTCACCTACTCAGATAGATGCTCAGTCAGCAGAATTGGGCTTTAACACACTCAAGAGTAGTTGACACCTTCCATCACATGTAAAATTGCCATCTAAATTTGGAAAGCAGCTACATCTAACTGCCTGGACAGTTCACAGCCTCTAGGGCACAAAGACTGTTTTCTTTATCATAAACCCAAGGACTGTGTTTAATTTACCTTTATATCTGTTCCCCCTAGGCTTTACATAGTGACTTTTAATATTTGCTCCTTTAAAATTTGTGCAGATTCAGGGGCTGAGGTGGTGGGTCAGTGGTGGAGCATGTGCCTAGCATGTGTGAGGTATGTGTCCATCTACAACTAAAAAAAAATATTATTTAAAATAAATAAACAAACAAACAAACAAACAAATAAATAAAATTTGTGCAGATTCATTCATTCCCCTAAATTAATAACTCGGATACAGTTCTTTTTTTCCTTTGAAGTGCTAGGGACTGAACTCAGGACCTCACACATGCTAAGTACACATTCTACCAATGAATTACGTACCCTGCACCCTGATGCTTTTATTATTATCGGTTCCAGGGACTGAAAATTTTTTCAGCCATTTTTAAAAACCACTAGTCACATCCCAGCCCATTTTTATTCCTTATTTTGAGACAGGGTCTCACTAAGTTGCTCAGTCTCACTGAATTGCCGAGACTGGCTTTGAACTTGTGATCCTCCTGTCTCAGCCTCCAAGCCTCTGGGATTACAGGCATGCATCATCATGGAATAGCTATCTAAATTTAGAAATTTCTTTTAAAAATTTACAAACCTCAGGATGTTTCTGCACTCTGAAATTTTTACAAATGACCACAATAGCAACAAGACAAAATATGTTTAAATGTACTTTTCATAAATGTCTCATTTGACCCTTAAAACCACTCTACAGGAAAGGTAAGGCAACACATTAAAACCCCTAATTTACAATTGAGGAAACAGTACCTTAGAAAAGTTATGTGATTTGTTCAAGGTAATCAGATATGCTAGAATTCAAGGAAATCCTAACTTCAAATCTCTTTTTCAAGGCTGGGGCTGTAGTTCAGTGGCAGAGCACTTGCCTTTCTTGTGTGAGGCACTGGGTTCAATTCTCAGCACCACATAAAAAAATAAAAAAAAATAAAGGCATGCTGTACATCTACAACTACAAAAACTTTAAAAAAATCCCTTGTTCAGCTATATAACCTTTCTTTACTAAACTGGTAAAGGTGGAATAAAAGATGAGAAATTGAATTACTATCAATAAATAAGAAAAATAAGTGATAACTAGAAAAGAATGCTTGTATTGGTTGGAGAGAACACAAATGGGTCGTTTTTCTACAGAAATCCTTAAATTTTGCCTTTTGATAGGATGTGGGTAAGGACACCCACAAATTATTGGTAGGAATGCAAAATAGCAATGCCTTATAGAGTGAAAATGAACAATTCACATTTGTTTTTATAAAAACCCTTTATTTGTATACTCTGCTCAACAACTCCATCATCTAGGAATTTACACTAAGGAAATCTATCCAACAATGTGTTTAAGTAGTGAAAAATGCCGAATAACCAACTAAATAAATAATTACAGCCATATAATGGCATGATATATAGTTGGAAAAAAGCAATTACAAAAGAGTTTACCTCAAAAATATCACATATTCATCTCTGCATTTCTGTGCAGAGATGAATAGGTGAATTTTTCATTGTGATTTTGTATATTTTTAAAGTTTTGTATGTGAATGGCTTACTAAATATTTTTCTTTATATAAATGTTTATAATAAGGCATATTAAAGGTTTCCTGGGGGAGGTTGTGAAACTGCAGGGATTTCAAATGAAAAATTTTGCAGCCATTTTTAAAAATACTATTAAAAATAAAGCATCACTGGGGGTGTGGCTCTGGTGGGGGGCCTGCCTAGCATGGTCCAGGCCTTGGGTTGGATTCCCCAGCACGGCAGGGGGGATAAAATAAATAAATAAAGCATTAATATACCATTACCATTAAAATACCATTGAAAAATAAAGCACTCTACCCTGACTTGCCACTGTGCCTGCCTGTAGCTGCCTGTAGTCCCAGCTACGCTGGAGGTTGAGGTGGGAGGATCGCTTGAGCCCAAGAGTTCCAGACCAGCCTGGTCAATATATCAAGACCCCATCTCAAACAAAATAAAAGCACGCATTATGAATCCTCAGCAAAACCTTTTCAAATTCCAGTCTTTCCTTTGGACCTGTTCCCATTTGGAGGTGGGGGGGGGGGAGGGCTTAAAAGGTTGCCTGACCAGTAGCTTGAGTGACACTGATTTCTACCTTTAGTTTGTAATGTGTTCCAGAAAAGAAAGGCAATCACCTAAAAGGCATCTCAAAAAGCACCTCAGAAGGAAAATATTTAGGGGTGTAAGTTTCTCTTCCATTTATTTCCCTCCTGACCTACTACCAGGGCAGTCCAGACTGTGACTGGCCCAGTTTCCCAATTACATCCTAGAGAAGCACATGAGATGCGCCAATTTTCTGTATACGTTTCCAAAAAGACAAGTTTTACTACGTAATGCAGGATAAACAGCAGCCTTCACTACTCATTCTCAACGTAATCAAGAGAAGATGCCGCTGCGTTGCGGGAGCACTACACGAGGACAAAGCGGGGGCTCCTAGGCTCAGATCCCGCAGGCGACGTGTCGGGGACCGCCTCGGGAACAAGGGCATAGTCCCTGGACACCGCCTTCCCTCCGCCCCCATGACAGACGCTAGGAACCGCGGGGACTGCAACCTGCCGGAGAACCGGGAAAGAGTGGGGTCGCGTAAGCAGGTGCCCAGGTCGCCGCACCAGAGGGAAGACACCGGTCGAAAGGCCAGAGGGACGCTGGCGAACCATCCGCTGGGAGCCTAACCTGGGCGGCCGCTCCCGAGGCTGAACTGGCCGAGCGATCCAAGAAAAACCGGGGAGCGGTCCGGACCTGAGCCGGACCGCCGCATCTTCCCCGCAGCCCCAACCGCCACCCGGAGAACCGCCCATCCCGCGCGGAGGACACGCCCTCTCTGCGGGCCTAGGCCTCTACGCCCCGCCCGTTCCCCAGGGCCGCTCACCCAACCGGGAAATCCCCGCCGTCGCCACCGCCGCCACCGCCGGCCCCCTCGGGCCTCGCCCCTCAACGGCCGCCGCCTCCTACGGCAGCGGCACCACCACTACCTCAGCCGGGCCGCAAGACCCGGAACCACTTCCTTCCGGAACCGCGTAGCCCCGCCCCCACCCCGCCCACTGTCGCGGCCTCGCGCTGAGCCAGCTCTCCACCGACCCTTCCACACTTCCAACGACTATGCCCCGCCCAAGCTGCTCTGGCCAGAGCGCCTGCGCCCTCTGCCGGCCATTCCCACCTTGACCGTTGTCGAGGGCGCCTGCGTCCTGTTCTTTGCCATTCTCCTGCCTTCCCAGTTCAGCTAGAGCGCTTGCGCCTATTCCCACCCTTGAGCGGGAAGAAAGAAACGCAGTGCGTATCCGAGATCCAGGAGTCCTGGGGCTGGGGGTCAGGGATTAGAGATTGGCCTTCAGCCAGGTGCAGGAACCTGGTCGTGTGGGCCTTCCACCCTTCTGTAGATGGATGCACCAGGAAGCATAGGTGGCAGCCTAGCACATGGGTCTGGGCCTTCCATCCTTGCCTTAGGCCACAAAGCCCTTCCAGAAAGGGCTCACCAGAACCTGCTTCTGTGTGTCCTCTCCCTGCCGACTCAGTTTTTAACCATTCCCCTAACCTTTAACCATTTCCCAAGGTCAGAAATGAAGCTTCGGGCTGGGGATGTGGCTCAGGCGGTAGCGCGCTCGTCTGGCATGCGTGCGGCCCGGGTTCGATCCCCAGCACCACATACCAACAAAGATGTTGTGTCCGCCGAGAACTAAAAAATAAAATATTAAAATTTCTCTCTCTCTCTCTCTCTCCCCTCTCTCACTCTCTCTTAAAAAAAAAAAAAAAAAAAAAAAAAAAAAGAAATGAAGCTTCTACCTGAAAAACAAAACTTCCCCTCAGAGCATTCCAAATAGGTTAATGGTACCACCATCCAATTCAAACTACTGACTCCTGTGTGTGAGTGTGTGTGTGTCTGTGTGTATGTGCACAGACACACTGGGACTAGAACCCAGGGCCATGCACACGCTAAGCAAGCACTCTACCACTGAACTATATCCCAGTCTGTCTATTCTTTTTTTATTATTTTTTAGTTGTAGTTGAACACAATATCTTTATTTATTTTTATGTGGTGTTGGGGATCGAACCAGGGTCTCGCCTGTGCTAGGCGAGCACTCTACTGCTGAGCCACAACCCCAGCCCCAGTCTGTCTATTTTTGATCTCTCTCCTCCCACACTCCAGTCACCATCCCCAAAGGCATTATGTCCACACTATCTTGAGTACTGCCTATTACCCTCCTTTGTTACTGTTACCTACTGACTACCTGACATTAGTTTTCCTCTCTGCCTGATTTACTGCTGTCATCCCAATGAAACCAACATACATGACTGAGCCATACTTCTTCAACTTACTCAACCCAGATGAACTTTACCCCTACATTGTCCATCCATTCCTTGGTTTGTACTCTAGAAAATCTAGATATTAATCACTGTATACTGCTCCATCTCTATAATCTTACATTTTTCAATTCCACTTAGACTGGCAATCCTCATCCTTGCTATACTATATCTCCCTTAGTCTCAATATATTTGTTCTCCAAATATGATAAATATCTCCCATCCCACGAACATTGTTTTTCATTTAAACCCCTGGCCTTTGATTAAAGTCCCTGGTTTACCTGTTGCCACACCCTAATGTTGCACCATCACCTTAAAACATTCCAGTTCTCATCCATGTGTGGTGGAACATGCCTGTATCTGATGCAGAAGGATCACAAGATCCAGGCCAGCTTCAGCAACTTAATGAGAATCTGTCTCAGATAAAATTTTTTTTATGAATTTTGGAAATGTTACTCAGTGGCAAAGCACACCTGGGTTCAATTCCCAGTGTAATCACTCAGTCAATTAATCCCAGTTATCTATATTTTTCATCCCTAAATCTGCCGTTCCAAGCACTGCATGGGGGAAAAAAATCTCACAACATTTAAAGAATGATGGATGCCACTAACAAATTTGTGGACATCCACCTCAGTGCAAAGTCTTGCTGCCTTAGTAACCCCTTTATATGACCCTGTTGTGTGACCTTTCTTATTGCCAATAATTGCTGCTACAACCTCTTACTGCTGTCTTTAAGTCCTATGCAAATTATCATTTTCCTCTCTTCATAGATCACTTTGCTTCCTGTTTTGCAAAGAAACTTCTTCAGCACAGTTTAAGAGGCTTTTCAATTATCTGGTTCATGCTTACTTTTCATCTTTTTCCACCTTGTACTGTGCACGCTGAGCCACAACAATGCTCTGGCCATACTGAAATTTTTGCATTTTTAAAATTTTTTTTCATTTTATTTATTCTAATTAGTTATATATGACAGCAGAATGCAATTCAATTCATACTACACAAATAGAGAACAATTTTTTCATGTCTCTGGTTGAACACAAAGTAGAATCACACCATTCATGTCTTCATACATGTATTTAGGGTAATGATGTCTATCTCATTCCACCACCTTTCCTACCCCCATGCTCCCCCCTTTCCCTCCCTCCCCTTTGCCCTATCTAAAGTTCATCTATTTCTCCCATGCCCCTCCCCCCATCACCATTATGAATCAGCATCCTTATATCAGAGAAGACATTCGGCATTAGGTTTTTGGGGATTGGCTTAATTTACTTAGCATTATATTCTCCAACTCCATCCATTTACCTGCAAATGCCATGACTTTATTCTCTTTTAATGCTGAGTAATATTCCATTGTGTATATATACCACAGTTTCTTTATCCATTCATCTACTGAAGGGCATCTAGGTTGGATCCACAATTTAGCTATTGTGAATTGTGCTGCTATAAACATTAATGTGGCTGTGTGCCTGCAGTATGCTGTTTTTTTCCCATTTTTTTATTGGTTGTTCAAAACATTACAAAGCTCTTGACGTATCATATTTCATACATTTGATTCAAGTGAGTTATGAACTCCCATTTTTACCCCATATACAGATTGCAGAATCACATCGGTTACACATCCACGCAGTATGCTGTTTTTAAGTCCTTTGGGTATACACTGAGGAGTGGGATAGCTGGGTCAAATGGTGGTTCCATTCCCATCTTTCCAAGGAATCTCCATACTTCTTTCTAGATTGGTTGCACCAATTTGCAGTCCCACCAGCCTTTTCCCCATATCCTAGCCAACACTTATTGTTGTTTGTGTTCTTTTTGTTTGTTTGTGTTCTTAATAGATGCCATTCTTACTGGAGTGAGATGAAATCTTAAGATCAGTTTTGATTTGCATTTCTCTAATTGCTAGAGATGGTGAACATTTTTTCATATATTTGTTGATTGATTGTATATCATCTTCTGAGAGGTGTCTGTTCAGTTCCTTGGCCCTTTTATTAATTGGGCTATTTGGTTTTTTGGTGCTTAGCTTTTTAAAAAATATTTCTTTAGTTGTAGGTGAATACACAGCATCTTTATTTATTTTTATGTGGTGCTAAGGATTGAACCCAGTGCCTCACACATGTGAGGCAAGCACTTTACCACTGAGCTACAGTGATGCCACCTGCTTCACTCTTCTTGCTAAGGATTGCTTTAGCTATTCTGGGTCTCTTATTTTTCCAGATGAATTTCATGACTGCTTTTTCTATTTCTATGAGGAATGTCATTGGGATTTTGATTGGAATTGCATTAAATCTGCATAGTGCTTTTGGTAGTACGGTCATTTTGAAATTTTTGCATTTTGAGAATGATAATACTTTTTCTGTATAGTTTAGAGGTGTGAGTCTTATTATCTGGCTTCAACTCAGGAAGGTTTTCATCCACTCCATCTTCAAGAAATGTTTCTGCTCCATTCATTCTGATCTTTCTTAGGAAGAGCAATTAATTATCTGGGGTAGTTCTTTGTTTTATAATCTTCATTTCATCATCCTTTTTCAGCTTTCCAGTAGACAACAAATTTGCTTTATTGATAGTGATGTGGCTTCCCAAAGCATTCAATCTCTATTTTGAAAATTTTATTACTGAGATTTTTGTTGTTGTTGTTGTTACGGGGATTGAACCCAGGAGCACGTAACCACTCAGGCACATTCCCAGCCCTTTTTTTCATTTTATTTAGAGACAGGGTCTTGTTGAGTTGCTAAGTGCCTTGCTAATTTTTTAAAGCTGGCTTTGAATTTATAATCCTTCTGCCTCAGCTTCCCAAATCACTGGGATTACAGGCATGTGCCACTGTGCCCAGCTACTGAGATTTTTTTTTTTTTTTAAAGAGAGAGTGAGAGAGGGAGAGAGAGAAAGACAGAGAGAGAATTTTAATATTTATTTTTTAGTTATCGGCGGACACAACATCTTTGTTTGTATGTGGTGCTGAGAATCGAACCCGGGCCGCACGCATGCCAGGCGAGCGCGCTACCACTTGAGCCACATCCCCAGCCCCGAGATTTTTTTATTCTTTGTATTCATTTCTCTCTCTCTCTCTCTCTCTCTCTCTCTCTCTCTCTCTCACACACACACACACACACACACACACACACACACCCCACCCTATTGCTCTGCATTTAATCTGTCATTACCTTATGTAATTCTTTTCTGGTTCTATAGAAGCTCTTTCTTCTTTCAAAAGGATGCTAAACTGATAATATTTTTTTTTCTTTTGGATTCCATAGTTGATCATTTTTAGAAGTATATTTTTTTCTTCAATGATTGATTTTTGTGTACTTCATGTTGTGTGTGTATGTGTGTGTTTGTGTGTGACTTATCTTTGAAAAATGTGATGTTTTTCCTTAATCATTATTGGTTAACACACAGTACAAGTAGTTGGCTCTTGACCTATTTTTTATCTACTTGTGTGGACAAAGAAGATACATTGTACATAGTAACATAGGTCTTAGTGTATATATGAATAGCACATATGCACACATACATAAAATAAGCCTGAAGAAATGGAATATTATCTTTCTTTCCCACTTTTTTTTTTTTTTTTGGTTTTCATGAAACCCAAATCTGCTGCAGAACACCAAGTGTGCTTAATACAAGGAGTTTGTATTAATAAGTTATGCTACAATGATAATCCCCAAATTTCTGTGTCTTCATTATAAAAACAAATCTTTCTCACATTTCATGTCCTTCATGGAT